TACATGTTTTTTGTTAACATTGTTTCCAATCAATATTTAATAAAACTTCTCAATTAGTTATATAAAACAATTTAAATTAGCAATTTGACAATTTCAATATCAGAATTTAGCTTTTTATGAAATTGAAATCCAAAAAGTGATTCCTTCATAAAATGAAATGTTTTCCCATCCTCTGGGATACCAACTATATATCAGCCACATACAATTTCGTAGAGAATGGGTTATTTAGGTAACCTTCATTATATAAGGATCTGGCTGTTTTCACCAGAAGAAATATTCCAAATAATTCGGCTCTGTTAAACAGATCAGCTTTTTCTTTGACAGAATTTTTTTAATTTAGTTATTATTGAATATTTATGAAATCAATATATTCGTAAATTTCTATTAGCAGTCCCAAACATGCTTTAAATAATTTTAAGAAAATATGTAGAAATTACCATTCATAAATACTAATATTTTTGCAAGTAAATGCTATTATTGATAGATTATTAAATTTTGCTGAGTAAAGCTGTTTCAGGACACAAACATCTTGGCCACCTGTAACTGTTTGTCAGTGTGCTTTGAGAACACTAGTAGTAATTGTAAACTTAGGAATGTGTGACAAGCTAACAGCCAGCTGTGCATATCCTGACTTTTTCCAGGTGTTAAAATAAATATGACCATTTGGTTCACTTGTAACTCAACAAAAATATTTCATGATTCATTAACTTAAAAATCCATTTATAATTTTTTATTGGAGTAGATAATGTATTCATTTGAAGTGAAAAAAAATGCATGCCCAGAAATATTTGAGGTATCATTATTTGTTATATTCAGTGGTCTCTTCATAAATTGAAAAGAATTTTAATGTAATACTTGTATAGATTTTTTCACATTCTTTGTCTAGAAAATGCTACTGAATCAATTCTGCCTATAGGTATCAACAAGTGAAAAAAAATAATGAAATTTGTTTTCTATTCAGTCAGAGTTTAACTTGCCTGACAGAACCCTGTTTCAAACTGATGTTGTAATAATATCTATAATGCCTAAATCTTGCCTTGGCTACTCTACTCATCCTCATAAAGTCCCTAAAGAGAATAAACATATAAGACAAAACTGCAAATAGGAAATCAAAATCCATTTTATTACTAGATATTCTTATATCCAAAACTCCAATATAAATAGTTCTCAGATAACTGGGGTGGAATATATGACTTAGACAGTTTCATAATAACGCCCTCCCCCTGCCCCCGCAATAAACTCAGAAAGAGTAGAGGTGGAGTGAGCTGAAAGAAAAATAACTACTAGAGCTTCTTTACTATGCTCACTCCCATCACCTTTTTATTTTTAATCCATTAGACTATTGACTATCTAGGAACCAATCTATGGCAAAGCAAGAGAGTGATTCTACCCCTTGGAAGAGAAGATCCTTTCTTTTTTTTTTTTTTTTTTTCTGGAGGAGAGAATAAATTAGCACAATTGGTCAGGCTCTTGAACACTAATGAAGCCTGGTTAACTTCTGACAGAGACTCACTGTCAGTCAGAGAGACACTCTCTGAATGACCTCAAAAGCATCCATTCGTGATATGAACTACCTTGGGCACCACATGGAAAAGAGCTGAGAGTGGCCTATGGACGATGGCCAGCAAGGAAAGGGGAACCTCAATTATACAAACCCTGAGGACCCAAATATTTCCAACAAAAGGAAAGAGCTTGCAGAGGATTTTTCCCCTAAGTCTCCTGATGAAAACTCAGTCTAGGTGACAACTTTATATCAGACTTGTGATGCTTTTAATAGAATTCCTCCATGCCTCCCTAGACTTCTCTGATCTACAGAACTATGAATTAATGAGTAGGCATTATTTTAAGCTGCTACGCTTGAGATAATTTTTTATATAGCAACAAAATAGAATTACAATACCGAACAAAAGTGCATATAAAATGGTAAACATATAAGTAAATCTAAATATTTATATAAAAATAGTGTCTATTTTGGTGTGTCTTCAAAAGACACAAATAAAATCTGAGCAAATGCATATAAATTTAAGGGGAGCTGACCATAAAATATTCAAAAATTTTATACTTGGGGGACAGAGATTTGTAGGTGTGGAGACCCTCCTAAAATCTGATCTCCCCTTCTGTTTGGGCAAGTGGCAATTCAATCAGAATACAGTTCCTGGATTCTGATACTATTATCTGTGGCCCTATGTGGAGTTGTCTTCAATGTAATATGAGTTGGAATCATGTGTGCACCTTTCACCTTAATTGCTTAAGGGGAAATTGCTTTTCCTTGACATCTCTTTTTACTTCTTGTTAAGAACAGGTTGACCCAAGTTTGACCATACAAATGCAGGCCAGAGGGGATGGTGGAGCAAGAAAATCCTCTGGGTCTCTGGGTAGCTAAGAAGAGGAGAATCGGGCCTCCCCGGTGGCGCAGCGGTTAAGCGCTGGGTTGCGAAGCTGCCCGCAGCCTAGGCAGCGCAGGTTCAATCCCCGGCTGCTCCCCGGCCAGCAGCGTAGGGTCCCACATGGCGCGCAGACCTCTCCTGCCGCCCGCTGCTCCCCTCAGCAGTGTACTTCGTTCCTTCTACCTGCTCTGCTCCCCACTCTGTCTCTGGTGAATTCTCTCACCCCCCCCCACCCCGCGCTTCTGACTGTACCCAGTGCTCGTATAAATAAATAAATAAATCTTTAAAAAAAAAAAAAAAAAGAAGAGGAGAATCACACTGCAAACCTGACTCTGTAACTTGAAACCATTTCAGGAGAGAGAAAATTGCATTGTTTAACCCTTTGTTATTTTAGAACTTTCTTAAAGTAATATTAATTAAATTGAAACTTAAATATAACAATCACAGAAAACTAAAATACAGAGCATTTGACGTGGCAAAATTAGGGCTTAACGGTAAGGCAATACATCTTATGTTGTTGGGGTAGAGAAGCAGTTGGCTTTTCATACCTATGAGGTTCAAATATCTGGATGTTCTATCTCCCTTCTTCTCTGCTTTTAAATTGGCATATTCTTGCCTGAGCTCTTCTTTTTATTATAATACATTGCTAAAAGCAATAAGAAGACAACACATATTCCTTACTGTTTTTAATAATGTATTATAAAAAATAGCATGAGACAAAACTGACTCAAAACTTTTCTACAGAGCTTCCTCAAAGAAAGAAGGGCAATCGTTTCACAAAGATCAGATTGAGGATGTTGCCTTCCAATCTAAACCTCCTGTCTGGTTCTCCCATCTGTGAAGCAATGACTACTCTGTCTTTCCTAATCTTCCTTTATTTTTTATCTTTCCTCCCTTTATCCAAAAGGTCTGACTCTGTATATTAGGATTCAATTTCATATAACTTGTCTACTAGCATATAGTTAATAGGACAATGAGGACCCTGACATGACCTTAATGGTGAGCATTTTGCAGTACCTAGATATCCTAGGCTGGATGTGATCTTGGATTATATTCTGTAGAAAAGCAGTAGGTATTTTCTGTTTATGTGTGTGAGGGGTACATTTAGGTGACCAGACCCCAAGTCATCCCCAAAATATTTTTCCTCTCTTCTAGGTACTTGGTGTTATCAGCAAGAGACTACATTTCCCAGTCTCACTTGCAAGAAGATTATTATCATGTTACTAAATTCTTGGTATTAGATAGAAGTGCTATCTGCAACTTTAACCTCATTGACTTAACATTACTTGCTCTGAATTTTTTCTTTCTCCTTCCTATGTAATTTGGATTTGACAGCAATCCAGTTTTGACCATGCAGATGAAGACTGCATCCTAGCAGAGGGTGGTGCAATAACTTAGAGGCAGACTAGGGACCTGACTGATCTCATGGAGTAGTCAACTTATTAATCTAAACTGCTCACTTTGAGCTTGTTAGATGAAGAGAAGTAAACTTTTTGTTAAGCCTGTATCTTTGAGTAGCTTAATCTTTTCCTTAATTGATTCAGAGGACTAAAACAATGTCTTAAATTAGACTATGTGAAGCATGCATAATAAAATCTCAAGAGTAACCACCAAAAGAATAGAAATAGAATATATAACTTCTGGTATAAAAATCTTAATTTGGTTCGCCTGCCTCCCACTCAAAAAAAAAAAAAAAGGATAGGCAAGAAAGAAGTATAAGCAAAAGAAAGGCAGGACAAATAGCACAAAGTAGGATTCTAGAAACAAGTCCAGAAACATGTGATATCAATAAATGTAATAAACTAAATTTATCAATTATAACTCATAAGAAAATAGAAAGATTTTAAGTAAAAAAAAAATAGAAAAGCATACTAGGCAAATAAAATAACACTTGGGTAGATATATTTCTATCACACAAAATAAATTCTGAACCACAAAATAATATCAGTGATGGAAAGAAACCCTACATAAAAATTTCAGTTCTTCAGGAATATGACAATTCTGAATGTATAGTCCCCTAATAAGATAGCTATGATTTTGGTAATTTGTGTCCTATTTATTTTCTTGGTCAGCATAGCTGCAAGTACTGCTTTAGCTGCATCCCTTAAAATTGTATGTTTGTTTTTGTTTTCAGTTCAAGATATTTCCTATCTTGTGACTTCTCTTCAACTTCTGAATATTTTAAAGTTTATTTAATTCTAGGTATTTCAGGATTTCACTGATTTTTTTATTTAAATTGCATTTTTTGTCGTTAGAGAATATAAATTTGCGTGAGAAAATATTTTTAGGGTTTTTATATTATGTAAAATTTCCATTTATAAAGTGCTCTTTATTTTTGCCTGTGGACTTTGATCTCACATCACTTCCTTTGAGGCTGGATTTTCCTTATTTATTTTTGTAGCATAGGTATGATAGCAATGAATTCTCTCTATAATTGTTTATCTGGGAATGAATTGATTTGATTTTTCTCTGTGTATAACTCGTTAACTCCGAATAGGTTTCTGAGAAGGTGTTGGGTACAAAAGTTTATATTTGATGTCCATTTTGGGACCATGGTCTCTCACAGTCCTCTTTTCCTGACAGAAACATTTTTGCTTTATTGTTATTCAGGGCTAGACATGGATTTTGACAGAAGCCTTACTTTGCTGTTGGATGTCTGAGGTAATGTGGACTCTTATGAAAACCTCCGAAATCAAACTAGTTGTAGTCAGAGTTGGAGACTGTACAAAACAAAAATTTTCGCTAACATGGGCAATAAAAGGAGGTGTATAGAGATATACTTAATTTACTCACAGAATTAGAGTAAGAATTAAGGAGCCTGACTTTTAGAAGTACAGAAACCAAGACACTTTGGAGTTACCGAAAATAAAGTATCTTGTGCCATCTTTTGTTATCCCCAAAATATCAGTGGTCATGATTGGATACTCTGTTACAAGCACCTTTTATCTCTTTACTTGAACCCTAATATTTCCTAGAAGAGATTGACTAACTTGGGCAAGATGACCACTTTGTGATTAGGAATCCTGTGATTGGCAATCCCATTAAACCACATGAAGTAAGTAAGTTCCACAAAGATTTTTTGTTTACAAGCACTGGGTACAGTCAGAAGCGCCAGAGGGTGAGAGAATTCACCAGAGCCAGAGCAGGGAGCAGAGCAGGCAGAAGGACCAAAATACACTGCTGAGGGGAGCAGCAGGCGGCAGGAGAGGTCTGCCGCCATGCGGGATCCTCCTCCAGTGGCCATGGAGCAGCCGGTGATCAAACCGGCGCTGCAGAGGCTGCGGGCAGCTTCGCAACCCAGCGCTCAACCGCTGCGCCACTGGGGAGGTCCCACAAAGATTTTTTTTGTTAGCAGAACGGGGAATAGTGATGCTATTCAATCAAACCAACTATCTTCTAAACTTATGTCAACTCATTCTTATACCGCAGATGCCTAATCAAAATTTGTTGTTATTTTTGTCTACTTAAAGCTCATTTCCCCTTATGATAGCAGTACCCTATTATTCCTTGTAGAATCCTCTCAATGTTCATTCTGCGTGGGTCTAGGTCCAGTCATACACATGTGACCCTGCTAGGCCAATTCAAACGAAGATGTTTCAGTTCTATGACTTTTCTTGGAACTGTTAAGAGTATGGTATTCTTTTTCTGCTAGACATTTACTTTGATGTATAAAGAACAGTTCTGTTGGATATGGAATTATTGGTTGACTTTTTTGAGATTTCAGTATATCATTTCACTGCCTCCTGCTATTTGAATATGTTCCATCACCTTCTGACCTCTGATTCTTCTTAGGAGATACTAGCTGATATTTATATCTCATAAATTAAATGTTAATTGATGTCCTTTTGTACATAATTTGTTTTCTTATTGATTTGAAGACTTCTCTTTGTTAGCATTCTTGAGATAAAAGAAATGGAGGTATTAGATTGCCTTATTTCAAACTTTATATAAAGCAACAATACTAAAACCAATATGATATTGACACAAAAATAGATGCATGGGTCAGTAGAATAGAATCAAAATCTCAGAAATAGATCCACACATGTTTTAGTACTTAATCTATAATAAAACAGCTATGGCCGTACAATGGGAAAAGGAGAGTCTCTTCAGTAAATGGTACTGGGAAAACTGGAAGGCCATTCATAAAAGAATAAAATTGGGTCTCTCTAACTCCATGCATAAAAATAAATTCCAACTGGATAAATAATTTAGATAGATCTGCAACAATAAAAAATAATTAAATATAAGACCTGCAATATATTCCATGACATCAACAATAAAAATTTCCATGGCAAAGGAAATAAGAGCAAAAATAAACAGTTGTGATTACCTCAAGTTTGAAAGCTTTCACATGGTGAAACAAATATGTAAGATTTAAAAGACATCCTACTGAATGAGAGAAAATATTCATACAATATATGACTGATAAGGAGTTAGTGTCAAGATATATAAAATTTCATGTAATTCAATAATGAACAAAATAAACAACCCAATTAATAAATGGGCAACAGATAGGAACATACAATTCACCAAAGAAGATATTTGGAAGAAAAATAGACATATGAAAAAAGTTCATTATTTCTTTCAATAAGAAAATCAGGTTGAAGCCGCAATGGGATGCCATCACATACCTGTGAGAAAGACCCCAACAGCAAGTGTGGGAGAGGATATAGAGAAAGGGGAATTCATTACACTGTTGATGAAAATGTGCTGGTGCAACCAATAAGGAAAGTGATCTGGATTTATCTTAAAAAAACTAAATACCATAGACCCAGTATTACCATAGACCCAGAAATACCATAGACCCAGTAATCCCACTTTTGGACATTTATCCAAAGAATATAAAATCATTAACACACAAAAAAAAACCCCATATGCTCTATAGTGCTTTTACAAGATATTTATAGTAGCAAGGACATGAAAGCAGCATAATTGTCTATCCGTAGACAATTGAATCAAGACAACCTAGTATACCCACACTATGGATTACTGTTCAGCCATAAAGAAAGACGAAATGCAGAAATTACAGCAAAATTGAAGGAATTCAAGAGAATCATATGTAGTGAAGCAAGTCGAATGGTAAAGACAGATACTAGACATTTACGTAGTGGAGGATTCAACAAAGTAAAATTGTTATAAAAACTAATGGACATAATAAACTTCATGAGGGTGCTGAGGTAAAGAGTGAGGTAAGTATGAGGAAGAAGGGGATATAAGGAATAGTGGTAGCAAAAAAATGAAAATTTTTTTTAATTAATTAAAATATGGGATTCATAGAAATCCAGATCCTGCCACCTTTTAACTAGGTGACTTGGGCCAATTTTAAACTATACTGAGTTTCATGAATGAGAGGATATATTTATCTTACAAGTTTGTTTTTTTAATTAGAAGTTGTATGGATAAAGTGCTGGGATAGTGTCAAGCAAACAGTAAATCTCAAATTTCTTCTACAATTTCTTATGTGAATGGAGGTCACACACTTAGTGGCAGAACCATGATTATGCTTGTCTTCTTACTCCTAATCTGGAGTTTTTTTGTTTCATTATTCTGCCTCATTGACGGCAAATAAAATGATAAGTGAGGTGATTGTTATTTGGGGGACCCACAGAGGAGAAGAAAGATGGCAGAAGAAAGATGGTATCTTAACTGAGAAGGCTAAGCAAATGCCTGTGGTTCTCTTTGGCTGAAGTCTTAAAGAAGAGAAATGCTTACAAGTCAATATTTCATTCATATTTAATGTTTATTTACAGTTAACATTTATATTAATTCTTAACCATACACTTATTCAAATGTACTCCTTTCTTATGCTGTGTTATAAGCTGTGAAATTAACAGAAATGTGCTTTAAAAGTTCATTGCATGTTTTCTTATCCAGTTCATCTCAAACCCAAGAATACTGAAGATCACAGAAAGCAGTGGAACTATCAGGTAAGCATAATACAACTTCCCAGGGTTCAGTTATACTAACAATAATGTAATATTGTTCTACTTTTAGACCGAAGTAAATAAAAGTTTATTATGGAATAAAAATATTTGATATTTTGAGGTAAAGTATAAGACTTCAACAAAGTTTACACATACATGATGATGGTAATGTTCACTTTCTTTAAGGTTATTCTTTGTTGGGAAAGCTTAAGAAGTAATGAAAGTATTAATTATTTTGAAGAAAGGTTCCTCTCTTTTTATTCCAATAATATCTGTATTTGAAAAAGTCACAATTTTAAATATTTTTATCTCGTAATTGAACAATCTCTTTTAAGAGGATTATTTTACTAAAAACTTAAAAGAAATCTGCTTAAATTTCTTTTGGAACATAAGCAGAAACTCAAAAGATCATGTTCTATCTTGTAAGTAATGTATTTGTATTTACCGATCTGTATATAACTGTTTGAAGTAAAGATACATCATTCAAATTTTAAGATTTTTTTAATTTAATTGCAATCATAATTATATGTTTTTCCAAGAGACTGTCAAAACCCTATAAAAGAAGATGGAAAATATTGATACTTTCTTACAGCCATCACCTCATACCTATAGATCTATAAAATTCAGGATTTCCTCCAGGGGGCAGTAGATACACTAATGAATGCAATTCTTGTTATGCAAATACAAAGGACATGTGGGGAAGTAAAGAGCTGCATCTTATCATGGTGCTACTACTGGAGCTGTTGTTACTGGACAGCATTCTGGTAAATTTGGACTTCTAGGAATATGAGCCTAGATCAAGCAAGTGGCTACCATGTCCTTGGAATCTTGAATGCCTTTTTTGAATGGGAAAACAAGATTTGCAAAACTAGAATACATTCACCTTTCAAGATGCCTCATTCTTTCCACTGTAAATAAGAGCACAAATAAAGTCGTATTTCTATATGACGTACCAGTGCATGTGTGCATGTTATTTAGAACTTAGGATAAAGTCCAAGCTTGAGTCAAGAGCCCCAAATGGCTCTTGAATTCACTCAGGTTGATTCTAGGGTCAACTATAGGCTTCCAGGGTAGTCTGAGGACCCCTATATGTTCTAAAGTATATGCTTCCAATCCCATATACCCATAATAATTCAGTTATATTAACATAGACTATTGATGTGACATACTACTATGTGCTTTTAGCTTCATTGCTTCATTGTAAAGAGAAATCTCTAAACATATTTAAATTATTAATGTCTAGAGAAATAACATTTATGTCTCCAAACCAGGGAATCAGCATTAACAGTTATTGAATGTCATTCTTTTTGTATATCTTTTTAAATTGAATATCTTAGCTTGGGTGAGTATAATCACATCTCCTCAAGTCTTTCTTACATCACCATTGCCATTGCTCTGTGTATTCTTATTACCGAGTTAAGATTGACTGAGAACTTGTTCAGTTTTTAAGCTTTGGCAATCCAAATAACTAATTTTAACTCCATTGGAAAAGGTTTCCACAAGGTTTAGTCATTTATCAGCAAGTAGTATAGAAATAAGAAATAAGATAGGATTCCAGTCTTTCTAACTCATTCTTACTAAGTATAGTTCTCATTTCTTATTGGGCATGTTCTCTTTGTTGTTCTGTACCTAACTGATTTATTTAACATTTAAAAAATAGAATTAATTCTCTTAGATGTGGAAATTGCACTCATGTGAGTGCCTCCAAATTACAGAATACAGCCAGAACCCAATTGCTGATGGACTCTGAAAAATGTTATTTTCAAACTATTAATTCCAGTGTTTTAAGGGAAAACATAGACATGGATATGTGTGTGTGTGTGTGTATATATATGTATGTATGTGTGTGTGTAGCATCTGCGTGTCCATGAAAAATAATTGGTACATTGGCATGCTCTCTTATACATTGTAGCTTCTTAGTTACTATTTATTGAATTAAACCAATCAACATTTTGAGTATTTAGTGTTCTAGGCTTTTCATAGAATGACTAGATTAATAAAACTGTTTCTTGTCTTCAACTCCTAACAATCTAGTGAGAGGTGAAATGTAAACAACTAACTATGCCTTGAAGTGTAATGCAATATCTGGGAAAGTGCTGAAAGGGGTGTAGGAAAGAATAATTTCAGTATAGAAGATAATTTCTTGAAGGTAATGGTGTATACTTTAGGCACTGAAAGGACTTTTGAAACTGAAGGAAGATAGAAGGAAATTCACTTGAAAGAAAAACTTGAGAGCCATAGTACCAACGTGGCAAATGCCTTTGGCATTTGGGGGCACTTAGTACAATGTAGTTGTAATTTAATAAATATATTTTTTAACATACTTAAGTTTTTAAAATTAGGATAAGTCTTATTATTCCATAAAGCATGCTAGTTCACTTAAGTCCTTTCTTTATATGTATTTCAATTGTGAGCTTCAGTGCAGTCCAGGTCCAGAATTCCGTGATTAGAATTTGAGAACAGCTTTATTATATGTACTAAAACACAAGTACCTGTGCCCTTGGAAAGATTATGTACCTTAGCATTAAGCTCATACTCAACACCATTTGTTAAAAGAGTACTATTTCTTGTCCCCTAACCCTTGCCCTCTGCTCACATGCCACAGCAGGCTCTAAATCCAAGTCTGGGATGTGCATGCACAACGCTCTACTCTTAACAGTTAGTGGGAATAACATGGTAACTACTAGAGATCAAACCTCTGTTGAAGTTTCAACTAACTGATTTCTCTATCAAATTTCACGTGCTATATATGACAGTCATATTTTGTGTTGAGGGAAGCCTTTCTAAACTTTGTTTTTCTTTCCATTTAAGCAGGAGGAATTTTTTAAACTGACATCCTTATTTTTAAATTACATACATTTTAAAATTACATACATGTGGTAAGTCTATCACAGTTACCACCAAAATTCAGCGTGACCTTTAGGGCAGCTAGTGATACACTAACTTTTTTGAGTAGTACATGATATGTAAAAGGACATATCATTCAATGTGTCTGTGTAAATGCAATAAGTATTAGTAGGAGGACATACACATGGATAATCCTGGAATGTATATCTATATTTATAGCTGGGAAATTTATGTGAATTTGATTTAGATAGCTGACATCAGTGGTATTTCATTATCAGTTGCCCTTGTACATTTTGCAAAAATACACATGTGGTAATCCACTACTGGGTTTTTTTTAACAAGTAATGAAAGAGTGTTTATGATTTCTTTGTAAATTCCTTCATGTGTTTCACCAGAATTCGTAAGTTTAAATGTAGTGTCATTTTTTTTCTTGTTTGTGAAACACAAGTACCTAGGTTTTATTTTGCAATGTTGTGGTAAATGTTCAGAACAGGCATTGAGAATTTTAAAATGCAATTTCATGTATATAATTCAATTTTTATCTGCCTCTTTTTTTATAGCCACTTTATAATTTCTGTATTGTTTCTTTTGAGTATTAGAAAAAAATTAATAAAACTATCATTTCAGAAAAGGAAATTCTGTTTACCTTTTGAAAACACTGATTCATAGGGCAACAAACCTGAGAGTTCTATTTCTAAGGTGTTTCATCTTATATGTACATATGTCAAATGAGAGTTATTTATATATATAGTTCACCATTTTATCTGGTACAAAATAATCACCTTATGTTTCCTTTATTGTACATGCCCTTTTAATAATCCCCTTGCCCTGTTTTTTTATACTCCTTCCTCTTACTGATACATATGCAGTTGCCAGCTTAACCTAAGTATATTTAAGTTTAGAATTCTATTATCTAAGACTGCTGGAATCTATCAGAAGTAATCCAATTTTGTAATGAAAATAAATATAATACAATTACATGCTGCTTTCTTGGTTCTCCTGTTTCTTTTACTGTCAACTTTTTCATTTTTCTTCCTAACCATTAATATTGAGGTCCCCCAAGATTCTGTCCTGTTCTTTTCTGTCACTACATCATTTTCATGGGTTCAGATACTTCCTCCAGGTGAGGAATCATGTGGATATTCATGGAAGTATATTCATGGAAGTTTTGGGAATTAATTCAAAGCTGCAATCAATTACTATAACCATGACATTTCAGTCCTATGTAAGTTTTGGTTTTCCATCAAGCACTCCCTATAGATGTGCCAAATTTAAATTTACCAACTCAGCTCTACCGTTTGGCTTACCACAATATGCTTAGACTGTGAATGTAGATTTACAATATCAACTTCAAAAGAAGCACATTGATAACTCTGGATATGTATTTTGAAGGAAAAAACAATAGAATTAGAGACACCAATTAGTCTTACCTGTAGTTACCTAGAAAATATGTAATGATGGCTCTGACCAGCTAGATTGTAGTGGAAATGAAACAATGTAGATGGAGACTGGGATTTTAAGAACACTAACAAATATTTAGTAATGGATTAGATTTGGAAAGGGTGAAGGAGATGAAGGCTCATCAAAGAACACAGTTTTCTGGCATGCACAAATGCACATATGGCTACCCTTTTCCCCATAATGTAGAAGGCTATCATCATCTGCTGAGAAAGAGAAATGAGGGGTCAGAAGTTTGAGGATTTTTGCCAGGCAGAGGGAATATGTGTATTTCAGGCATATGGAATAATATTAGCAGAGTCTTGAAAGTGTGGAAATAATCAGTGTCTTCTGGAAACTGTGAATTCTCAAGTATTCAGTAGTATTAGGTGTGGTGTAGGGAAGGTGGTTATGGAGAAGTCTGGGAAAGGAATGTGAGGCATTTGGTTCCCATGCTAATTAGTTTTTATCTTATCTTTATCATTTGACTGTTCTCAGACACTTAGTTTCATAGTGTGCTAAAATTTCATATCCAATTTATGAGAACAACATATATTTGCCTGCTTTTATGTGGCAAAATATTAAAGCAATAATGAAAACTACTAGCTTACTTAAATCTTAGAGCTCTCTTAAAATAGATATTTTCAATTTGATAATGGAGACAAAAATAAACCCCAGAATCAATACAGAAATTATAATTATCATAGTTTTTTAACTAATGAAAAATTGCTGAACATAATTAAACACTGACATTCTATTTGAAAAGCAACTGAGAACAGTTACTAAACTTCAACACCTTAGAAAAACAGCCACAAATCACTAGTCAAGTGGAGATCTTGAGCAATGAGGAATTGTAGTAACAGATTGCTGAGCCTTACCATATGATAACATGCTTAAAAGGGCTTGGCAAATGTCTGAACTTCCAGTGTCCTAGAGGGAATAATAATTTATGCTTAGTAAATAGGACAAATGCTAAATCTGCTTTTATTTCTAAATATGTGTCATCAAGGAATTGACATTCACATGGGACTTTGAGAATTAGAAAATTTAGAATTTTAAAAGCCCACTTCAAAGAAAGAATGATCTTCAATATGTATCATTAAGGTTTCTTAACATCTTACACATTTTTAAAATATTCATTAATCGGACATGGTCAGTTATTTATAAGATTAAATATGTTCTGATTTATCCAAATATTCTTTTCCTCTTTTGCAATATTAACTGTTATTTTCCCTTTATGTCCCATTGTTTATAATTTTCAGTTAAACAGATCTTACAAACTGAACACTAGGTATTTTCTCATATTTCCAGAATAGTGCTGGAATTGACACAACTCTAAATTACATTATAAAGGAAGCTAAAGAACATATAAATCATGCCAAAAATACTTAGGATTGGGTGGACTGGATGCCTTAAGGAATTGGTAATTTGATCCAAAGCCTGTCACCTGTTAAAATTTATCCTGGGTCAGTAGTGACTGAAAATCATCACGACCTGACAGGTGTTCAGGATCGTGTGTGAAATGAAGTGGCAGACTCAGTATAGTTCCTATTTGACACGTGTATGCATTACTGAAACCACTGCAACATTAATTGATAACTATGCTGGCAATCTTGATTGAGGTGCCAAGGACTAACTGGCCTGAACTCTCTTCACCCCTGCTAATGTGCCTTTTTAAATAGGCTCAAGTTTGCCTGCATAGTAGAAAAGTGTGTTTGGGCCTGCTGCTCTGACTGGATTTCTTTACTCCTAAAATTTGCCATGTATATTTTTTCACTGTGGGTTGCTTTATTATAATATCTGATGGTGTGGTTTTTCTTTTCTTTTTGCTATTGGAAGCTGTTGTCTATTTTTGAATTATCAAATAATATAAAGCATTAAGTTGCTGCTTGGTACTTATCACCCACAAGATAAGTAGACTCATTCCTCTAATTTATTTTCTCCTTGGAATTAAAGAGCATCAATTTGTTCTTAAAGGTATAAGAATTTTCATCACTCCTAATTACATATTATTGGAAAAATTACTTTTTAAAAAAGTTATTTGTTATTCAAAAATTATTGCTTCATATCTTAAAGAGTGAAATAAAAGAAGTCCACTCAACCCTCCCTACTTGATCGCGGGTGAATAGAGAAGGAAAAGGATTGATGCTCACTTATATGGTGAAAACAACTTCTTTTTCCTCACTAAAGAGTCATGATGGTATGTGACTGTGTGTGCATCAATTTGGCATCAAACATGCTAGCAGCAAGGTGTTAGCCAGATGGAACAAAGAAACAGACTTTAATAATAATATGATAATTTTATTAATTGCAATCTGTCCTCAGCAGGACAGTGATTATGCTGTTTAGGAAATGACTTAGAGTGTGGTTTGGTTGGTGGTTATGTAGTCTCCTAAATTTAACTAGCAAATTCTTCTACAGCTCCCTCCAGAATGTAAGGAAAGAAAATACTTTACCTTTAGAACAAATCTTAAATGTATGTGTATATAGGACAAATTAATGGTGGCGTGGAATTTAAATTGGTTTTCTAATACAAGCAATAAATATAACTATGTCCATAGCCTTACCTTTTGCAGACTAGCTGACCAGAGTTGTGGACATAATTGTGACCATGGGACAAAACCAGTTTATCTATTTGTGGAATAAATTCACGAATTCATTAGCAATATATATAGAAGCTGCAGTTTATAGACTTAATAGTGACAGATTGGGCTGATTTATTGAAGTACTTGGTTTTGCTTTGCTTCTTTTGTACAGATACTCCAGGGAGTACCCAGATATTCTTTGTATTTCTGCTCTCATAGCTTTGCTCCTGTTGTCCTATCTCCTTAAAAGTCAGCTTCCTTTCTTTTTCTTTCCTTCCCCCACAGACCCATCCACACCTCTCTCCTGAAGTTAAGTAAACTTCTAACTCATCTTTCTAGGTTTAGAATACTTATAAATTATTTTCCTAGTCCTCTCTCATTCTTCTTTCTGCACACTTAGCAGTTGTGTTGTAGCTGGTTGTAGTTATATTTGTAGCCTCTTCAGAAGAGAGATTATGCTCTCTTTAACATGCAGTAGATACTTGGAAAGGTTTAGTGAGTGAGTGAGTGAATAATTACAAATGCAATGTCTTCGTTTTTGTTGTATTTAAATGTTTCCTTTCATATCTGAAAACTTAAAGACCTAATTTTTAAAATCCTAACCATAACTTTATTGACTTTAGTTTTCATGATTGTTATTTGTATGTAGGTTTATGTGTATGCATGCCTGAGTGCCTACATGCGTGTGTGTGTGTTCATGTGTGTGTGTGTACTGGACCTTTTTTTTTCTTTGATTACGTGTGTGAAATTCCACAAGTTTTATGTTTTGTTTCAGGGAAAAGTTGGGCAATACAGTTGGAGGGCTGTGAATGGCACAAACCTAGCACTCTACAGTGCAGAAAAGTTTAGAGAGAATAGTTTAGTGAATCCCCATTGATCTGTCACTCAGCTTTGATCATTTCAGCCGATGAAGGTCTTGCTTCCTCCTTCCCGGACCCATTGTTGTGCCCCATATTTTCTAAAAAAGCATATATATTAATGTCTCATTTATATGAAGTGTAATATACCTTTTTAAGCGTAAAAGTTGAAAAGTTGAGACAAACATACATAGTTGTACATGTTTTCAAATTATTAAACATTTCAATTACTGCAAAAATTTCCCTGGTGCCACCTTGTAGTCAGTGCCTTTACCCACCCCCAGCTCCTGGTAATCACTGATTTCTTTCTGTTCCTAGAGTTTTGCCTTCATCTAGCATGTCATATAAATGGATTTAAACAGCACGGAAACTTTTGTATCCAGCTTCTTCCACTTAATATAAGACTTCTGAGATTCATACATGGTGTCACAGGTATCAATAATTGTTTAATTGTTTTCTATTTTATGTATGTACCACAGTTTGTTTATTCAACAGGTGATGGACATTTAGATTGTTCCTATTTTGGACTGTTGTGAATAAAATAATTCTGAATATTCATACACAGGCTTTTTGATAAAGATATGTATTTATTTCTCTTGGGTAAAATACCTATTCATGGAATTTCTAGGTCATATTATATGTTTACTTTCATAAGAAATGTCCAATATGTTTTTCAAGGTGTCTGCACCATTTCAGTGAAAATTTCAGTGAATTTTTGGCAATTTTTTAAATTAGGAGAATGATCCTAATATTGCAGTTTTACTTTCTGTTACTAATAAATCTTTGATCTAAAGTGCTTGGTTATTTTTATTACTCAAAGCAATAATACTCACTGAGGCAACTATCAAGACATCTTGCTGCTTACTGCTGGCAAGATCCTGGCTAAAATTTTCTTGGACAGACCACAGTGCAGCCCTGCCAACTATGTGCTCCCAAAAATCCTAATGTGGCTGTGGGCCACAATGCAGTTACAGCTGACTTGATCTTTGCAGTGTGTTTGGATTTAGGAAAGTCAGGGCTTAAAACAAGAGGTATCTTAGAAGATTGCAGATTCAGAAGATTCATCTTTCCAATTGAATGAAGCTTCCATTGAAAAAAAGAGCCTTATATGTAAAGTTGGGTTCTTTTAAAATTAAATTATTTCCACTACGTATCTGATAAAGAAAATGTAAACAACAATATGCCATACATTATCTTCTGACGGTGAAAAACTTGATTAAGAGTTCTAGTTACTTTTTTTTTTTTAAGATTTATTTTATTTATACAAGAACCAGGGTACAGGCCAGATGTGCGGGAGAGTGAGAGGATTCACCAGAGACAGAGCGGTGAACAGAACAAGCAGAATGACCGAAATGCGCTGCGGAGGGGGGGCTGCGGGCGAGACAGGAGAGGTCTGCGGTGCCATGAGGGTTGCTCCATGGCTGGCAGGGATCGAACCGGTACTGCAGAGGCTGCGGATAGCTTCACAGCGCTGCACTCAACTGCCTGCGCCACCAGAGAGGCGCGAGAATTCTAGTTTGTTGATGGTTTTTTTTTTTTTTTTTTGGTGGGGGGAGTCATCAGCATATTGAAATGTCCTGGATTTAAGACTATGATGTATTTTCAATTTTATTAGAAAATAAAACATGCTTTATTTGTTCTCACTTTGGTAATGGTGTAGAATAGATCCACATATAATCTTATATTAGTGTTTCAGTTTCAGCTATCACTAATTGATACTGAGGTCTCTATCTGCACACCCTTTAAGCACAACAGATTAAACCAAAACTGCTGGAACAGTTTCCTAGAAAGCCAAGTATGCAGATTGTTTTAGCAATGTGCAAATGTTATGTAATTTTTTTTTTAAAGGAGAACTTTTGTTTTTTGTTTATTTATTTATTTATTTATTTATACAAGCACTGGGTACAGTCAGAAGGGTGGGAGGGTGAGAGAATTCACCAGAGCCAGAGCGGGGAGCAGAGCAGGCAGAAGGACTGAAGTACACTGCTGAGGGGAGCAGTGGGTGGCAGGAGAGGTCTGCGCGCCATGTAGGACCCTCCTCCGGTGGCCAGGGAGCAGCCAGGGATCAAACTGGCGCTGCAGAGGCTGCGGGCAGCTTCGCAACCCAGCGCTCAACCTCTGCGCCACCAGGGAGGCCAACGTTATGTAATTTTTGATGTAAATACACAGGAATACCTATTAAACAAATTTTGGGAATTTATAACTATTTTTGAAATTTATAACAGACAAAAAATGGTCAACCAAGAAAGTTTATCACTTATTTACAGAGCAGGACAAATAGCTGCTTCATAATGATGCTGTTGATGATTCCTTCCATTGGGAGAAAGTTCCATAAAACCTGAAATGACTCAGTCCATAGGCATCAGACATCCTTGAACTGATCAGACTTGATTGCTTTTGGCTTCCTAAGAAGGATGCGGAGAAAACTGAACTCTCATACACTGTTGGTGGGAATGTAGACTGGTCCAGCACCTATGGAAAAAATATGGATATTTCTCAGAATATTCAAAATAGACCAACTAGGTGATTCAGCAATTCCACTACTTGACATCTACCATAGAATGCAAAAACATTAATTCTAAGGGACATATGCATTCCTATGTTTATTGCAACACTATTTACAATAGCCAATTTATGGAAACAGTCTAAATGTCCAAAGACAGATGAATTGGTTAGGAAAATGTGGCGTATATATATAACGGAATACCACTTGGCTTTAAAAAAGGTTAAACTTGCCATTTTTGACAACATGGAAGGAAGTAGAGGGGTTATACTAAGAGAAATAAATCAGAAGAAGAAAGACACTTGGTGGTGTCACTTTTACGTGAAATATAGAAAAACAATACAAAAATGAGATAAAGCAAACCAATAACCAAATCTGACTGTAGAATTGAGTATACTAAAGGGAGAGAGCAAGGGGAAGTATAAAGCAGGGAGGGGGGTACAATGGATGTTTGATGTATCTGTGGTATGGTAACATACTCCTAAATGGTGAAATCCTTTGGCTTTTAGATGTTATTTAATTTCTTGAACCAATCTTGTCTTGCTTTTAAACCTCCATTCTCACTTTATTTGCCAATCAAAGTTGCTTCTTTTCCAGTTAAAAATCTAGGTTGTGTTTTTTTTTGAGACAAGACTGTATGATTTCTCCTGTGTGAGGTATTAAAGTAATCAAAATAGTGTTTACCAGAAGGAAAGGGAGAAGAGAGATGGGTAAATTGGGTAAAAATGGGTCAATTGCATGGTGATGAATGAAACTAGAATGCTGGTGGCAAATTCAGATATTGTTTTTTTTTTTTAAGATTTATTTTTCCATAGAAGAACAGGGGTGCAAGACAGAATTTTGGGGGTGAGAGGATTCACCAGAGACAGAGTGGGGAGCAGAATAGGCAGATTGACCAAAATACACTGCTGAAGGGAGCAGTGGGCGAGTCAGGAGAGGTCTGCTGCGCTACGTAGGTATCTCCCTGGCCCGGGATCAAACTCTTGCTGCCATGGCTGTGGATAGCTTCATAGGTTGCGTCTTAATCCCTTGCACCACCAGGGAAGCCCAAATTCAGATATTGTTTTAAAAAGTTGTATTCTGAAACCCATGTTTTAAAATCAACATTATTTCAACGAAAGAAAATTTTTAAAGAAAAAAAAGTAATAAAACTCATAGAAAAAGAAGTAGAATGATGTTGGCTAGGTGTTTGGGGGTATCCATGGCAAGGGGAGAAGAGAAAAAACTAGGGAGTTGCACAATTGGTATGGAGTTTTAGTTTTATAAGATAAAAAAATAGAAATCTAATACACAACAATGTGAATATAGTTAATACTAGATACTAACATAAAATTTAGTCCCTCTGTAGGTGAAAGGATAATGTAATTATTATTTACATTTTTGTTTTAGGGATTATTATTATTTAATAGGAATTATTATTTAATAAATTGCTATGATTAAAAGTTTATATTTTTCCAAAGAGTATTTATCAAATCAGAAAAAAAAAGGTAACAAGTATTTAGCTTTTTTTATTAGATTTATTTATTTATTTATACAAGAACCGGGGTACAGGCCAGATGTGCGGGAGTTTGAGAGGATTCACCAGAGACAGAGCAGGGAACAGAACACGCAGATTGACGAAATACACTGCTGAGGGGAGCAGCGGGCGCAATAGGAGAGGTCTGCTGTGCCATGTGAGACCCTCGCAGGCCGGCCGGTATTGAACCAGCAGTGCAGAGGCTGCAGACAGCTTCACAGCGCTGTGCTCAACCACCTGCACCACTAGGGGAAGCCCACAAGTATTTAGCTTTTAAATCAAGAAGTTAGGGATCAGTTATAAAATTTAAACAACTGGTAAAGAGATTATCAGCCAGAATCTATTCTTACACGTTCTCAAAAAAAGATTTCATGAACTTATGATGGGAATAAACTTAATGGGAGGCGAGAAGCTTCAGACATTGGTCTTTTTTCATGCTCTACTTTACAAACTAAGTTGAATAATAGAAATGGAGACATGTTATAATCCTTTAACTCTGGAGATTTAAGAGTAGAAGGGCATTGTGCATCATTTTCTGTCTGAAGTTCAGGGACATGATAACCACCATTAGAGCAGTTCCTAATGACATCATGTCGTTGTATCTGTAAAGCAGAAATGCTGATGTAACATGAGGGCACGAGAAGTCAAAACTGATATAAGTTTTTACAACAATTAAAAAGTTGTATTTTTCATACCTGAAGTAATGTCTGAAATATTGTACCACCACATTAATATTTGTATCTCTTCCATCATGTATGCATTTGACATAGTCACTTATTAGTCACAAAGCATATCTGAACTCAACTTCCTCATTTTTAAAATGGAGAAGATATGTATAATGTGCTTTTATTTTTTAAGTAAATACTCATGCTTCTTATCCAAAATCCTGAGTAATTTATTCCTTGTCAAGCTGAACAGGATATAAGAGGGCTAAGCACAACAACCAGGTAATATACCTGGTCAATGAGTGTATATTGTTTGAATATAGTTAACTTCCAGTCCCTGGCACAAGTCTGCCCTAAAGCGGCCCTATTCTCCTTGACCACCAGGAATCATTAGTCAAACATCTGGTCCAGCATGGTGGGGCTCACTATTTATAGTTTACCCACCTCTGTTAGCAAAGAGGAAGCTCTGTTGCACTGCACTTTGGGGCTGTTTCTCCCAGAGCCCAGAGGAGAGTCCCACTTGGTGCAATGTGTTTCAGTCATAGGGCCTCTTACTGGTCTATGAGTGAATGGAAATCTAGCAAGATTTCCATCCATCATAAGTAAATTCTTCGGAATTCTAGCTGTAACCCTTTAAAGAATTTAAATTCACTAAAAGACAAAGGTCCTAGCCTGGTAGAATGTAGACCTTGAAACAATTTTACTAGCCAGAGCACATCTATAAGAAGGCAGGATGCTTGTCACTTTTGCTTGTTTTTTGCTTGCTGTGGTTTGTATCTCATGGCATCTGGTCTTCTAGTTCAGAGTCCAAAATGATTGAGGTTCCTTCATTTAGGGTTCAGACAGTCATATAGCTGTCACTACTTGAGTTGCTGAGAAATATGCGACTCTTCAGGAAGGTGTTCCTTGGAGCTTGAAGCCAAACAATTGAATCAATAACTGCCCGATTGTTTCCATTTAACAGTTTGGAAATGCTCCCACAGTCACTTCAGTGTGCCCAGTAAATTGGTGTTTTATGCTTGATTTTCACTTTCAGAATTCTATCTCACCATTATGAGGGCCTGATGTCATGGATGTAGGCAAACTTCTTGTATTGACATTTTTTGTTTTTGGCTCATTGAGAAGTAATGCCAAAATCCTGAGTTCCATGGGAATAGAGCCAAGAGACATTTGGCTTCTTAGTCAGAGCTAGTGTCCGTGGGAGCGGATATGGGAAAGTCTTGTGGAAGATCCATGGCCAAAAGCGCATAATCAAATTTTGTTGTGAATAAGGTCCTTCATAAGATGTTAGGGGGGAAAAGAATATAACACTTATAGGAGAGAAGTTTTCTTCATGAAATAATCTTGAATGGTTAGGAAAGCAAATTAGTGAATTAGCAGTTAATATCTTTGTTATTGGTCTAAAGTTACCTTTAAGATTAATTGAAATCAAATTTCTCTGTTCTCAAGAGAACTTTCCAACAGACTGTAAGATTAGAATCTGGGGTTGTTTTAAATCTCTTTTAGTCAATTACAGTGAACAGTGTTTTACCTACAGTGCATATATAGAATTAATAAAAGAAAACTTTATTATAGTTAACTTATGAAGAAAGTAAAAAGCATCTTTATTCTGGAGCAGAAGTAATAGCATTCACAGTTAAGACTTTTCTACTTTACAGTAATACAAAAAGGAACCAGCAAAAACTAAAAGCATGTATGTCTTTGTTTCATTGCAGGCTTTATAATTCTCTATCAGAAACATTTAATGTAATGTTAAACCATAGCTGAAGTGAACTATTCAACCTTATTATTAAGAAATTGTAATTAATATACAAACTTTATGCCTATCTGATAAAATGGGAAATTTTATGTATAAAATTTTACCTTCAGAAAATCCTATGTCTTGATAAGATGTTAGAATCATTAAGGTATTTTAATATGTGATCTAGTAAAATACATGTAAATAGTCCCTTTATCTAGTGTTATAAGTGACAAAAAAGATCATCTTGCTATAAACTATGTGTATTATTTAATGAAAATATATTCATTTTCCAAAGACTTTCTCGGCAAAATTCCATCTAGGCATAGATGAACTAAATTTAGTAGCATTTTGCATTGTTTGACATCTTATTCAGGAGGACCAAAATGAGTACAGTTTACTTTGACATATTTTGCAGTTTGTAAACTGGAACTGAATGACCATGAAAATGAAATTTCAACACTATACATCATATGCCAGGCAAGTCATGACTTGCATATTATGGTTTAACCTATGATTTAATTTCTTATATTATTGTGTGGCATTCATGTGTCTTATTTTACAAAGTGATCACTTGATAATTTGAATAGACTATATCATCCTACATTTTTAATAAGTACTCTTGGAATAATCGAACAAGTAACTTAGATTTCTAGTTTTATATAATACGCAAATGTAAATGCTTTGTCTTTGGTAATTTGATTAAATTCTGCTAACCTCAATTCCCTCTATGAAATGGAAATGGTGATAATATTTAACTTTAATCATGGTGAAAATAAAATTAGGCCATTAATGTCAAAGCAATTTGAAAACTATTTTTTTATCATTTTTAACAATAAAGCAATCATTTAAATCACACGGTACCATTGATTTCCCATTAGAGTCTTTGTCCCAGAAATATCCAAGGTGAAAAAAAGATTTCCTTAAATATATTTATAGTATTATAATCCTATGGACATTTATTTGGTGTCCAGTATTGATTTTTCCCAGCTAACAAACCGTAGCTCAGAGTTGTTATTTTTTTACTCTTGCATTTGGCTTTTGGAATCATCCCACTCAGTAGTGACCCACCATCCATTTTACTTTACCTTTTCAGATAATTTGTCTTCATTCTTGAAGATTTACTATATGATATTGGGCACCTCTTTCTTTAGACTACAGTTGTGTCATATGGATCTATAAGGTTTTTCCCAGCTCCTTCATCCGGTGATACTGATCTATTTCCATCTCTCTGTACATACCTCTCTGCTTTTAATCACCTTCTAATTCATAACATGTCTACACACCCCTCCTAAAATGAGCCATACAAACTGTTACAAAAACCAAAGCTCAATTCCGATAATGATATATTAGAAGATAGAAACATCAGGACTTGGTGAACAATTGTTGTAACTAAAGCAAATACGTATCGTGCAAAACTGCTCTTATTTCAAATCCAACCCATCTACTAGACACCTTCTACTGTCACAATTCCTCAGAGTTCTTTCTGTAAATTAGGAATAATGTTTTCCACACTCAATAGATCAGAAAAATGTCTGACACGAATCTGATATTTCATTTTCTTATACCCTTCTAATTCTGACAGCTAAAGCCCTAATGATTTCCTGGTTAACTTTTGACACAGAGAAAAAAAAAGTGAGTTCATAATTTTTATTATCTTTTCAATCTACTACAGAGCTGCCAGTGACTGGATGATCTTTAAGAAGCATAGGATTTTTTGGTAAGGGTTTTAACTATGTTAAGACATCTAGGTTGATTTGATACATATTTTCCTTTTCCAACACTCAAGTTGTTTAATAATAAAAACAGTTTAATTGGAAAGCAGAGTTTTTAGATATATTTTATTCATAAATAATAATTTCTATCATATTAGAAAATTCAATATTACTCCCCAAAGTTTGTAAACTAGTATTTTATGAATGTGTTCTGAGAAGGCCCTAAGTTCTCTGAAGTTATATGCAAAATTGTGAGGGTTTATTTTTTGCTGGTAAGCGTGTCCAGATTTCAAAAGGATCATTGACTTCCTGAAATTTGTACATGGTAGTTTAAAGTAAAGTACCATTGTTTAGGGGGTAGAATAATTGAGTCTAATTTAGTTACTGTCAGTGTCAAATTACTGCCTTCTTTTAACAAAAATTAAATTATGTATAGAAGCACAAAAGCCAAATTCAATACAAAAAGAATATAAAGCTTGTAAAAGGTTTTTGTTTTTATTATCTATTTTAACTTACATAGGTTTGTGGGAATTTTGGGAATCATCACAAAACATTCAGAATATTGAAACTGGTGTGGTACACTGCATTGAACTTTACTTGATGCTTTGTAAAAATCTCAGGAGTTTGTATTATGTGTCACAAGTGAATATTCATAGAGTGCTGAAATAAAAGTCATGCACTCAGAGACTGGATGAGAGTGCCTTTGCCATTTCTAGGATTTAGGCAAATTTGGAAAGAACTGCCTAGATCTTGTCACAAAAGGGTTTGGTACTGAGCCTTCCTTAATAGTCACAAGGGTTTCAAGCGAGGGTTATCACCACTCACAAGAGGGCGACAGTGGTGATATGATCCTGGAATCACACGATAAGGGCAAATATAGAGATTTGGCAGTCCTGTGACTGGGTCCTTGGAAACTGAGGTTATTCCTTCTTCACTGTCCCCACCAGCAAGTTCAGGGTACCCAGTTTGTATCCCAGAGCCTATGTGAATGGGCCTGCTGGCACAGACTTTTGGGTCTTATATGTTCACATTTCTGGGAGATATAGGTTCTAGTATGTAGGAACTAAAGTGGCCTCATTCCATCTCCATAGCTGGGTTCATCCCCTACAAAAGCAACCCTCCTGTAATTCCAGCCTCATTAATGTTGAATATGCCAGTATTAAGATTAGGAAAAGTACTACACTTTGTATGAGTGGAAATTGCTATAATATCAGATGATTAAAATTACCTTTATATTGATTATAATTACCCTTTTAGGAACCATTATACTAATAGAATTTTAGTGACTCCTTCATTAGACTCAGTCACTGCTTTATAGCTAAGTTACCAAACCAGTGAGGGTTGGAGAAGAGAATTTAATTCAAAAATATTTATATACAGCATTGCTCTTAAGGATTTCTAGGCACCTTATAATTATTGATCAATTGAAAACTGGTGCTCCCAAAACTGAGATAAATGTGCCAGTATTATTAAGTGCTAGGACAAAGAGTATTCTCTCTGTGTCCCTGTGGCTTCAGTAGAACTTGTAACTCTAGGACTATATCTCCTTGCCAACTGTAATGTGTTTGGAAATTGAACCTATGAAAACATAAAGGCAGATCAAGAAAAAGAGAAATGAAATGAATATAACTACTCCTTCCTTTTGTTTGTACAAAGCAATTGATAGGCCAATTTAACAGGAATTTTACTCACAAGAACTAGAATCGCAGAACCTAAAATTCTTAAACTGTTGTGCTAAGATATATTTTGTGCTAAAAGTTTTATAATGAAGGAAAATCAGAAATTGAGAATCATTAAAACACAAAACTGTTGTCTTTTCAAAAAAAGTGAGAACACTTTAATTTATATTGTTTGTACACATTTGATGTAAGAAATAATTTCACTTAGTCATAAGTACAATGAATTTGATTAACAAAATCCTAATTTACAAATAAAAGTATTTGCAGAAATATATTCATTATTGAAAATTATAAAATAAAATTAACAATTCTTGTTAAGATACCAGTTTATTCTGCATTTCATATAATAGAGTTTAATCATTTTGTTATGCTTAAGAATACTGATACGTATTAAAAGAATGGAACGTTTAGATTTGAATACAATGACAGTAAACCATTGATATTTCTCATTCACATTACACAGCCATCATGAATCCATAAGTGAATGTTAGTAATGTAAAAAAATATAAAATGATTGTAATGTAACCATCTAACCATTAGCATATGGAGTTTTAAGACCACTATTTAATCTGCTAATTTGCCCTGAAATATGAGCATTTGCTTTATTTAAGGCACAAAGACACGTCATGTCTTTGTGCCTTAATACTTAATTTGAAATGTCCTTATGTAAAAATATACCAAAGTAAATAAAAAAGGAGACACATTTACAAAACAATATAGTGTACATATTATATAAATGCAATTGATTCAAAGTCTTTTTATACAATATTGATAGAATCAGTCTTTTCCATTATTTTATCATGAAAACTGCAGTGTTGCAAAGTCAGGCTATTATTTTCAAATTTTGATACAAATGAAGATTTTTTGGCTGCCTTTTAAGAAAATGCAGTTTCGCAACTATATAATTAAATGCTGACCTCTAGAAAACTTATTCTTCTTTTATTAAGGAATATCCGTTCCCCATTTGGAGGTGTATAAAAATGCACCTAAAGAAAAAAGAAATGTATTATTTTACTGAATGTCTTTTATTTAATAAACCTGATATTATCAGCCATTCAGTCTTTTGTATTAGCACCATTGGCATGGATTGTTAATGTACTGTACCAATCATAATGGGAATGGAAACTTGCATATAATGCACCATTCCTGCTTTTGCGGAATTTCATCTTACCAAGTATGCTATCATACAATATAAATTCAAGTGTTTAGGATGATTCAAATGATGGTATATAACAATCCTGAATTTTACCAATATTATATATAGATTTTTCTGTAAGTATTAAATGAAGCTGTAAGGAAATAGACTTTAAAACATGTTCTTTTACTCATCAGAACACAAGGAGAATTGCTTTCATATGATGTGATATATATGAACATAAATGTAACTTGATCTCCTAGTTCAAAAACTCTGGAAATCATAAAACTTTCTACAGTGTGATTTATTTTGATGGTTAAATGCCAACCATTGCATATATTCTCTCTTTTAGTTCATATACTGTAACTTGTACTTAAGTGACTGTAGCATACTCTAGGCTTATAGCCTGTGGTACATAATTTCACAGTTTCAAAATTGTTGAGGGGAAGTCTTCCATGTTTTAGGAAGTTAAGAACCAAATATAAATCTCATGAGCACCCACAGCGATCTACTACCATGGCTGGGATTTTCCCATATATTATTTGTTCTTTGCCATTAAAATATAGCATATTAATTGGAGACATCTTTGTGGGAGTACAACAAGGACCTGCTGAGCCCCTGGGGTTTGCTTGGTGTACAAGGTGAGTATGAGGATATTTTTGTAAAAATACAAATTCACACTCTCCAGAGCAGTAATTGGCCTTATATCTTTTAGGTGCAATAATCCAATCCCATCCAAAAGCTTCAAAATCCACAGTTAGAGGGTAACGACAGCATCGAGATTCTGTTGAGTGCTCATCACAGTCAAGTCCAAAATCTCTTCTGGATCTTTTTGGTGTGTCTGTTACCTTGACTTCTAAAAAGGGATTCTGTATGAAAAGGAAAGATCAATTAATAATATTAAGAGAGTATAAAACATTTTCTTTTTTTTTTCTGTCAAGAGCTGGGGTTTAGGCCAGAGTTGCAGGGTGGGAGCGTGGGGGGAGGTGAGAAGATCAACAGAGTCAGAGCAGGGAGCAAAACAGACTGATCTACTGAAATACACTGCTGAGGAGAGCAGCGGGCAAGACAGGAGAGGTCTGCTGCACCATGTGGGTCACCTCCCTGGCCGGGGATTGAACTCATGCTGCTGCAGTAGCTGCAAACTGCTTCTTAGTGCTGACGCTTAACCCTCTGAGCCACCAAGGAGACCCTAAAACATTTTCTTACCTTAAAAGTGATTATTAAAGAAGCTACTCACTTTGTTCACACTACATCTATTTTTAAAAGGCACTACAAATAGAAATTTTAATGTACACTAGCCTGATTCTTCTTTTATGGCTCAAAATAATACAATTTCCCTGTGGCCATATGTATGTCCTTTTAATTTGTGTTTTCCATAGTTTGAGTATATGAACACTGTCACATAAGAGATCCTCTGAAAATAGAGGAAAAGGAAAGAGGGAAGTGAAGAAAGAGTGGGCAGAGGGGTGAGGAGGAAGAGAAGACATTAGCTCCCTTTTTTCACACCTACTGGTTAAATATGTCTGATGACTCCTGGAGGAATAAGTATAATCATCCATTCTCTGTTCCCTAGGTCTTTACTCATGAAAACTTCACTATTAAAAGCTTAAAAGCTACAGCAAAATAGTTACCTCCTAGCAGTGTAGGAATTGTAATAGGAAAAAGGAGGTAAAGTGATGAAAATGGTTGTATGTATATTGGTTTGGAAAGAAAAATTCTAAGGAAGGACTAATTCCAAAGAAGATTTGCTATTTCCTTTATGCTTTTCCTGAAAAGTGTTTGTATTCAGATATTTAAATGATGATTTCCTAGTCCTTGCCCTGCCATAACCTTTTAATGCATTTGAGACTTTGTTTCCTTTTTTGTATAGAAAAACACAAATCATATTAACATTCTGTTTAACAATAATTTCTTCTCAGTTCACTTTGATCATTAAATGCTGCCTATAAGAAAGAACAGTTTCTTAAGTAATCAATGGCAATTTTTATCCTCCATCAAAATCAAAAATCAAAATATTGAAGATTATAAAAAAATAACATTTTGGTAATCAATAATACATTATTTAGTATAGTTAAAGAAAAAATAGATCACTTGGATAATTATTTACTCACTAAAAGATAACGTTTTCATTTACAGTAGATCTGACTTACTAATAATAGGCTTTTCATAATCAAGACCACTTGAATACTACAAAAATAATAATTATTATTTGCAATTACAATCTTTTGTTGTAAATTATGTCAATAGGTGAAAGTAAAACATGTAACTTTAAATGTTTTTAAACAGAAAGCAATGTAAACCAGAAGAGTAACTAAGTTTATAATGGATTTTTTAATGTTTTTTTTTTCATCCTTATAGTATACAAAGTATTGCCATTTGCCTGACCTGATATTAAACTAGTTGGCATTTCTTAAGTAAACTCTTGGACAAGAATGGTCAGGCAGTTCATAAATAAGCTGGGTGACAAAGGTTAACTAGCCTGGAAATTTAAATTTTGTTAGGGGTAATTCACAAAGTAATCTATAAATAGATATTGTATCCACAACCTGCAAAACAATGAACCTATTTATTATGAGTTTAAGTATGTGTAAACTCATAGACTTAAATATAATTCTAAACATATTTAGTTAATTGTTATAAATAAAAACATTTTATTTTAATAATAATTTTTAAAGTTCGTTTTTTCTGTTATATGAAGCCAAAAATTTTTTCTGCTGTATTAAGCCAAAAATTTCCTTCTGGCAGGAAAAAAAAAAGACTTTTAATTTATTGGGTCTGTAATAAAATCAGCTGGAAGATTTCACGTTTTATTCACATAATCATGTAACGTATCAATGAAATGCACTTTGTATTTTGTTCCCCATTCAAAAGAACTCCTTGACAAATTAAAGACTAAGGTATCTTTTTTAAAAAATCCTTATGCAAAGTAAAAGAGAGTGTTTCATAGGGTACGAAACTGGACACCTGCTTTTATTGGGTACACAGCTACAACTAGGGTACGATACCTTTCTCTGACTAAGGAGAATAGCAAATTGGTAGTTTTTCCACTATTATTCATTCATATTATGAATAAAACATAAGATTGTTAGAATATTATGTTCAGTTATCACTTACCAGCCCATCTTCTCCTGGTCCTGGGAAGGTTACAGCAAGATCATGACCATTCTCATCTAAAGCTTTGATTTCAATGCCTAAGTTGGATTCAGGCTGTTTGAGCCAATTTTGCAACACTGTCTTCACATCAATGCTCTGCCAAATACCAGTGCCTGGGTTCATGTCAAGTTTCAGAGATCGGATTCCAGTATACCTTGTACCGTCTTTCATGGGTTTGATGAGTCTCAGAATTTGCACAAACACTGTTGTAGGACTCTTGACAGGTCTCAGATATATCCACAGTTGGGCCTTTACTACTTTATTGTATTGTATTTTAGAGCTAAATTTAAAGAAGCAACATTTAGGTTTTCCTTCCATTTGCATTAGAAGATCAGCTGTAAAGGAATTAAAAAAAAAAGTCACTGAAATTATGTCTCATAAATATGAACAACCCCCTCCGTATTAATTGGTAAGCATTTTTCCATTGGAATAATAATGGATGCATATTTGGCCTTTTAAAATGAATAGTAGAATTTCATTCAAAACTCAGAAAAATATCAAAGAAAGTAATTGCTCTAGCTTTTCAGAATTTTTTAGATAAATGTTTTTTCAGCTGCTCGTGGGAATCTACTCCCTTTCCAGAGATCTGTGGGCAAAGGAAAATTCTGTGAAGGAATGGACAGTGGATGAAATTTTAAAATGATGATGATTAGAGAGAACAAGAGACACCGTGGAGGAACATCCACTTAGAATTCTTTGGGAATCTGAGTAGTTACACTTAGTGAGCAGCTGTACCAATCAGTCTGGAAGAAGGAACCCTTCCCCCAGGCCTGAATTACCTGGGGACAAGACACACTGAGCAACTAACTGAGCCTCGGGAATTGGTAGAAAATATAGTACATCTGTTATGTTTTGGCTCTGGAATTGCCTCTTAAAGAAATAAAACTAAGCAGGTAATTTGTATAAAGATTCTACTGTTATATTCAGGATATCTCAAACATTAGAAAGTGTTATCTTTAGGGCCAGGCTGTCATAAGCAAAGTACAAAGCAGTTTCTTTCCTTTTGGTTTTCTAATACTGTTTATAAATAAGGCAGACCTACACAGAACTGTGTGATAGCAGAATCTGAAAGGAAAATTATTTGTTGCATTATAACCCAATTACCTAATAAGGAAAGCAGTGTTTTGAAACTGTTTTGAATGCAGCTTAAAGTGTATAAAGCATTGTATCAAACAAGATTATGGTGCAAAATCTTGTCTTGCATTCTCTGTTAAGGTGCCTATGTATGTTTCCTTGGTATCATTTAGAACTGATTGGGGGAAAGAATGGCATGAAATAAACTGTCTTTCAGCAGCAGTGAAGATACTCTAGGTAATCGTCCTCCTTCCCATGAAAAATAAAATAATATTTTAGAAGGTTAGTAAGCAACATTCCTGATTAGAAATATACAGACCACACCAGGTACTCTCAACAATGCCACCACAGTCAAGGTATAAGTAGGACTTCATGAGTTATAACCTCCTTGATTAAAATGTTTATTTCTTAGGCATTTTCTGATAATTAGCTCATGATTATCAACATGCTATTTATTTCATCACAGCACTTACTAATACATTACATTTAAAAAATATTTTCATATTTTCCAGTATAAAATAGTTATCAAAATTAAATATTTTAATTTGTGAAGAATATAAAAACACCATGAGAAATATTTCTGAGTAATAGAAATCACTTTAGGTATTCAGCAGATATTCAAATATGCTTAAGCATCTGCAATTTTCTTCCTTTTCCTATTAGTAGTGAGAAAACTTATTATTATAAATGCATATTTCTGGCAACCAAATGAAATTCTGACATTTCATGTCAGACTTTAATATTGTTCGTAGTGTCTCCCAGTCATTGCCTTGATGGTATTAAGCTGTGAAAGCATAGCATGTTAGAGTTGTCATATTAAATTAAATTAAATAACATTAGTGCTGAGAGCCTTCTAGCTCTCTAAGAAAACAAGTAACAAAGCAGATTTTAGTCATTAGTGTATTTCTCGTGATACCTTAAAAAATAGAAACTCTTTTTCCTCCTACTTACACACAAGCCAACAGCTTGTTAAAAGAGCCTGAAAATAGATCTGTTTCTCTTAAACACTAGAACAACAGTCAGCAGAATTGTTGATATACACTAATAAGACTACTTACACTCTGTGGGCATGGTAATGATCGTTTCTGTTGTGGCATGGTAATCATCATCTTCCAAGGAGCCATCGCTGCTGTCATCTCTCTGGACATCGTACTGATCAATCAGTTCCCGGAGTGGAGGAGCTCTGGGCAAAAGTTGTCTTATAGCATCTTTGCTGATATTAGGAGCTGTTTCCAGGCGAAGTTTACTGAGGATTTGAATTTTTATGGCTTCTATTCTTGAAGATTTAGTGTTTTGTCTCCAAGTACATGCATTACACAGCCCCTCTTTTTCCACATTTTCTTTTTGCTCGCTGTTCTCATTTAGATTCACTGGACCAGCAACAATCAGCATAAACAGGTAAATATAGACATAGATTTGCAGTTTTTGCATGATTTTAAAATTTATACAATCTTTGTCTTGTTCTTATTTCTTCCTTTTAGTTTTCTTTTGTTTTTGAGTAATGCCAAGCAAAATTTTAATGCCTGTACAGTCTGAGGACAACTTGCCACACCAGTGAATCTTTTATACTGTATTCCAAGTGGCTTTTTATATTCCAACTTTGATGAGACAAGTGTCGTCAGGATCTATGATTGGCTCTTGCTCCACAATGAATCTCGCTGTCAGAGGTTAAAACCCTGTCTGTCACAAGTCACCAAACAGTATTCTGTTACAGTCAAGGGTGAGCTGATTCATTTGACTACTTTATAAAAGAAATAAATCTACAAATAATGAAAGATATATGTGACATTTGAAATTTTAAAGTTTATGTTACCACTAGTATAAAATACATTTATCTTGTTAATCATTGCATGTGAAACTCTTAAGTTATAATTTAAATAAGTAAGTCTTCATTTACACTTCATAGTGTTAATGTTACTTCCTCAAAAGTTAAAATGATTTGATATTATTTAGGCAAGCATTTGAAGTTAAAGAAATTATTTGTTGTATTTAATTATTTTAGTGCTATATAATTAGTATATAAAGCACTGTATTAGGAAGAGCTGATTAAAAGAAAGATTAAAATTATGGTACTTGTAAGAGATTTTCAACTATAATTTGAGAAACTTATTTTCCTGACTAAATTTTTTACATATGCTGCAAATCATTTTTATTATATATGGAGTTAACTTTAAATAATTTAATCACTTTTATTAGTAAGAAAATTGTGCTAACTATTTGACCAATTACCTTTGTTATTTCCTAATTCTAAAAGTTGCAGATATCGCTCAGAAGATGTATTTTATTGTTCATTACTAAGAGAATAATGTCAGCTAGTAAAAAAAAAAAAATCTCTGAATTTAGAATAAGAAGATAGTGGATTTTATAACTGTTAATGCAATACTTATTACAGTTTGCCTTGGATTTCCAGTGGTAAAAATAAAAAGTGTGACATCTTTCTCTACAAATTACATAGCACTATTGTGAACATATAAAAGGGTGCCCATTTTTCCCCCATACGGTGATAGGTTTGCACCCCTTTGCCAGTTTTTCATTTTGGCCAGAGGGCAGACACCTGGCAGGGATTTGGGGTGAGATCTGGGAGCAGAGAATAGAGCTTTTTGTTCTCTAAACTTAAGTGGCCTCTGTAGGGATCAAACTCTCAACCTTAGCTTTGGGAGCCATAAGATCTAATCAAATGAATTATTAAAAAAAACTAAACAAAGCCAATAAGAAACAGAAACTTTTTCTAGGCCACAGGAGATTTCTGCTCCTTATTTCTTCTTGGGAAGCTAACAGCTCCTAAGAGTTAATCTATTACTTTTTTTTGAAGAGAATGCAGTAGCTCCTATCAAATATTTATTTTTTAGGTCACTACTACCACTTTTGCACATTGCACACTTATTTACTGCTTCAGTGCACTAAAATGCCACTCAGTAGCCTGAAAAGTTAATGCATTTTCATCAAATTCTTAAGAGGTTATCTACATCTCTTGAGAAAAAAAATGGCCTTACATAATGCATTAGATTTGCCCATCATTAAAGATTAAGGAAAACCAGACACAAACCAGATGCAGTGAAGGATTTCATATACTCTTTGTTGTAGAACAATATTAGATCAGGCTTATTAAAGTTTTGTAAATTTATTTTCAAAGTATAAATCCTTATAATGTTATAATAATTGTGGCATGCTTCTATGCACTTTTGAGTAAGTCAGAACATTGTTTTTAATTGATTAAAATTTTATAGCATTTGAAAACTTAGGCTCTGGCATCAGGTAGATCTGAGTTCAAAACTCAACTTTGGCACTTCTAATTCTGTCATAATTCTGTCATAATGGCTGAGATATTTAACTTCTCTAACCTTCAGTTTCTTCATAGGGTAAGTGATTGATAACTGGTTCTTGAATACTTGGTCTTTGTTTCATGCAGAAGGTTTGAGATGATGCTTGAATTTATCCTCCACATGAACTAGAACAGCTCTAAGTTATAATTGCCAGTGCCCTTTAGATGTCTGAGGCAAGTAAAATTTTACAAGATGTGTGTCACTTCTTTATTCTTACTACCTGGAATAAAGTAAACAAAGTTTGTCATTTCCATGTATAGTCAGTGTTTATTATTCATGGGTCTCATATTTTCAAACTTGCCTACTTGCTAACTTTTTTTTGTAACCTCCAAAACAATAGTCGTGCACTTTTGTGAGCACTTATCAACATAGGCCGTGAGGTAAAAAAAATTGAGTCTCCCAATACACAGGTCCCCACCTGATGTCAAATGAGGTAATTCTCTGCCTTGTTTCAGCTTAGACTGTAAACAGTGCCCTTTTTATGGTCTGTTTAGTACTATGTTTTTCACTTTTTGTGTGTTTGAGGGTGGGGAAGAATTCTGTTGTTTAAAAGGATCCCAAACAGGGCCTCCCTGCTGGCGCAAGGGGTTAAGTCTGAGCACTATGAAGCAATCCACATCCACTGCAGCACGAGTTTGATCCCTGGCCAGGGAGTTGACCCATATGCCACAGCAGACCTCTCCTGCCTTGCCCGCTGCTCCTCTCAACAGTGTATTTCAGTGGATCCACCTGTTCTGCTCCCCACTCTGTCTCTGGTGAATCCTCTCACCCCCAACACCTCTGGCCTGTACCCCAGTTCTTGTATGCATTCATAAATACATTTTTAAAAAATAATAAATAAAAGGATCCCAAACAGTGCTGAAGTGCTGTGCTCCTAAGCTCAGAAAGGCTTTGATGAAAAGTAGAATGGCAATTAGCTGTGGTGGACCCAGAAAATGAGGGAAAGAGAGTAAGGGTGGGAGCTGCTATTGAATAGTTTCAACTTGGGAAGAGCAAAAGTTCTGGAGGTGGATGGTGATGATGGTTGCACAATGTTGAAAGTGTACTTAGTGCCACTGAACAGTATACTTAATAGTGATTAAATGGCCAATTTTATGTATGTTTTATCACAGTTTTTAAAAAGTTGTGATATGCTATTAAAATAATTTTTAATTAAATAACATTGCATTATAACAGGGGTGCTTTGTTATCATCATCTGTATGTACTACATTAACACTAAAAGTCCATTTCTGTCCTTCACCATACCATTGTTCCTTTGTCCCAATTTACCTATCCTTTTTACCATCCCTTCTGGTAACCACTGATTGGTCTTATCATCCATAGTTTATTTTTTTGTTTTATTTAGTTCATCTATTTGTTGTTTTCTGTATCTACCATATGAGTGAAGTCATATGGTATTTATCATTTTCTGTCTGACTTATTTCACTGAGCATAATGCCATCTATTGATGGGTTCATCTGTGTTGTTGCAAATGGCAGTAATTCTTCTTTTTTAATAGTTGAATAGTATTCTATCATGTAAATTACATTCATCTGTCAGTGGGCACTTAGGTTAGTTTTAGCTCTTGGCTGTTGTAAGTAATGCTGCAATAAATGTGAGGGTGCATATATCTCTTTAATTTAGTGTTTATGTGTTTTTTTCTGATATTCTGAATTGTAATGTGTGGTGTTTCTAATTTTAGCTTTTTGAGGAATCTCCATACTGTTTTCCACAATAGCTGTGCCAATTTACATTCCCACAAAGAGTGTATAAATGTTCCCTTCTCTCCACATTCTCTCCAACACTTGTTTCTTGTCTTTTGGATCATAACTATTCTCACAGGTCTGAGGTGCTAGCTCATTGTTTTGTTTACATTTCTCTAATAATAAGAGCTGGTGTACACCTTTTCATATGCCTGTCGGCCATGTGGCTATTCAAATCCTCTACCCACTTTTTAATCAGGGTTTTTGTTGTTGTTCTTGTTGTGTTTTGTGTTCTCTGTATAGTTTAGATATTAACTATTGGATATTGTTGGATGTATGATGTATAAATGGCTTCCATTCGTAGGACACCTTTTCAATTTAATGCAAATTTTTTCCACTCTGCAGAAGCTTTTTAGTTGGCTATAGTCCCATTTGTTTATTTTTGTTTTTATTTCCCTTGCCATTGGAGTCGAGTCCCCAAAGACATCTCTATGGCTAATGTCAAGGAGAGTACCACTTAAATTTTCCTACATGTATTTCATGGTTTCAGGTCTTGCATCTAAGACTTTAATCTACATTAAATTTATTTTTGTTTATGGTATTAGATAGTGGTCTCGTTTCATTCTTTTGCAAGTGGTGTCCTGTTTTCCCAATACCATTTATTAAAAAGACTTTCCTTACTCCTTTGCAAGGTGTTAGCTCCTTTGTCATAAATTAGTAGTCCATATGTATGTGGTTTTGTTTCTGGGCTCCCAATTCTATTCCATTGATTTGGTTGACTTTTTGTTCTAATACCAAGCTGTTTTAATTATGATCACTTTGTAACATATTTTTTTCCCCTTGGAGTGATTTTGCTACTTTGGGTATTTTGTACTTCAAAATAAATTTCATGAAATTTTGTTATATTTCTTTTTTTTTTTAAAGATTTATTTATTTATTTATACAAGCACTGGGCACAGTCAGAAGCGCGGGAGGGCGAGAGAATTCACCAGAGCCAGAGTAGGGAATGGAACAGGCAGGCTGATGAAATACACTGCTGAGGGGAGCAGTGGGCGGCAGGAGAGGTCTGTGCACCATGTGGGAGCCTTGCCAGCAGCCGGGGATCGAACCGGCGCTGCAGAGGCTGCAGGCAGCTCTGCAGCTTCGCAGCCCAGCACTCAACCGCTGTGCCACCAGAGAAGGCCCAATTTTTGTTACATTTCTATGAGGAATATCATTGGGATTTTGATAGGCATTACATAGAAACAAATTTTTCTTTATGGAAAAATATTTATGTTAGATAAACTTTGTTCAGACTTGAGTTATAGTGTTGTTGGTCATGAGTTCAATATTAATTAATTAACTATATATATATTAAGTAAACTATCTTCAAACAGTAACATTAAATGAGGTTATGTATTAATAGACTGCTGAAAATATTGTGTCCACAGGCTCACAAGAACCTAGCCTTGTGTTCTTCCTAGGAACAATGGTTCAATATTCAATGATGCAGTGTTACAATAACTTTATTAACCACAACTACTGTGCTTTATCTAATCAACTTCTCCAGAGATCTGTATTGAATGAGTTAAGAGGTGCTCAAAAGATTCACAAACATAGATTCCTCTCTAATGTCTGCATTGCAACCTTTCTAAAGCCCAGAGCAGGAAGATTCACCTTTGCTCTGGTCTGACTGTTGGGGGTCTAGCTTTGGCTGTTTTCGTAAAAGAAAC